CAGAACCAGAGAGAGGTAGAGACAAGATTTCCCCCTGCTGAGTCATTTTCTAAGAAAGCATTTTTCCCCTACAGATAAAAATGTCAGAATGTAAGCCAACAGAAACACTTGGGCCTTTCCCCATTTTCTGTGGATGTTGATTTTCTCCATTTTTTTTTTTTTTTGAGACGGAGTTTTGCTCTTGTTACCCAGGCTGGAGTGCAATGGCGCGATCTCGGCTCACCGCAACCTCCGCCTCCTGGGTTCAGACAATTCTCCTGCCTCAGCCTCCTGAGTAGCTGGGATTACAGGCACGCACCACCACGCCCGGCTAATTTTTTGTATTTTTAGTAGAGACGGGGTTTCACCATGTTAACCAGGATGGTCTCGATCTCTTGACCTCGTGATCCACCCGCCTCGGCCTCCCAAAGTGCTGGGATTATAGGCCTGATTTTCTCCATTTAAGATTCGGCCTCAGGGATTAACTCTCAATGTCCACGTTTCTCTTTAATCATGTAAATCAGTAAAGCAGACTAGATGTGTCACTTGAAGCCTGGATGTTTTCTCAACGGCCCCCTACTTTATGCGTCAACTGCATTGTTCCCCCCAGGGATTCTCTTAGGAAAGGCAGCCAGTATTGAATGCAGACCAGGAGGGGTGGAGCCCGTGCTAACTGATCTGCCTGCCCATCTTGACACCTCAGGCACTTGACATATTTCCTTGCCCCAAGGCACTGTAACGTAATGTAGAAACAGATCACACTACAAGTTCATCTGAACTTGTAAATCAACAGGACCTTATTTTTTTTCCTTAATTTTGTCTAAAAAACCGAAAACACCAACAACAAAAAACAGATACATGTGCAGAAGGTGCAGGTTTGTTACATAGGTATGCATATGCCATGGTGATTTGCTGCACCTATTGACCCATCCTCTAAGTTCCCTCCCCCACCCCTCACCCCCCACCCCCTCAAAGGCCCTGGGACTTTTTTTTTTTGAGACGGGGTCTTGCTTTGAAGCCCAGGCTGGAGTGCAGTGGAGTGATCATGGCTCACTGCAGCCTCCACCTCCTGGGCTCAAGCAATCCTCTCATCTCAGCCTCCCTAGCAGTAGCTGGGACTACAGGCATGCATCACCATGCTGGGCGAATTTTTGTATTTTTTGCAGAGATAGGGTTTCACTATGTTGCCCAGGCTGGTCTCAAACTCCTGGACTCAAGCGACCCTCCTGCCTTGGCCTCCCAAAATGCTGGGATTACAGGGGTGAGCCACCTCTCCCGGCCATCAACAGGACTTTAAACAAAAACATTTAAAGCAGGCCGGGCGCAGTGGCTCACGCCTGTAATCTCAGCACTTTGGGAGGCCAAGGCAGGTGGATCACGAGGTCAGGAGTTCCAGACCAGCCTGGCCAAGATGGTGAAACCCCGTCTCTACTAAAAATACAAAATTCAGCTAGGCATGGTGGCGTGTGCCTGTAACCTCAGCTACTCAGGAGGCTGAGGCAGGGAATTGCTTGAACCCGGGAGGCAGAGGTTGCAGTAAGCCGAGATTGTGCCACTGTACTCCAGCCTGGGCAACAGACCAAGACTCTGTCTCAAAAAAAAAAAAACATTTAAAGCATTTGTGTAGGATGCTGATAGAGTGGTTGATCCTCACATTTGGACAAGATAGATGGACAGCATGTGTTGTGTGATTGCCGTACTTTATTGACAACTTACATCCTTTGGCTAGTCATCTCCAATAGCTGCTCCACTCACCTGCTGGAGAGTTGGCCATAGGCATTCATCTTCCCTCCTCTTTTCTTCAGTCTTATGCCACTTGTTGTGACATGCCCTGTCCCTTCTCAAGGTCCATCTTGGGGTGGGAACTGGGAGGTGACAGACATCCAGTAGGAGATCTAAACGAGAGAGAGAGAGCAGCACAAGGGAAAGGAGCATGTAGATGTAGGTCACCCTCTGCCCATGACCGCTCCCCTAGTACACTTGTCCATACTGAAGGAGGACTGTACTTAGCGCAAATGAACAACCGAGTGTCACCTGAACAGATTCCCAATGCAATATAAAGTTCTGTTCTTGGTGCTATCCTGTTCAACATTTTTATTGATGACTTTTGAGGAAAATATAGAAAGTAGCCCAGTTTATCTAAGAATGGTGCAAGGCTCTGTATGGTAGACTGGATGACAGTAGAGGGCAATTAGCTTCCAAAAAGATGTTGATTACCTGGTGTGAGAAGCCAAATTCCACAAAGTGTATTTTACCGGGGCTAAAGGTGATGTCTCATAATTGGGCCCCAAATTTGAACTTCAAATGACTCCAGGAGAAAGTGGAGTAGCAGTAGCATTTGTGAAACTGGTTCAGGGGTTTTTGCTGATAGTAATCAAGAGACATGTCATGTCAGTTAACATGGCTGCCAGAAAAGCCAAGATGACAGCCAGGCGTGGTGGCTCATGCCTGCAATCCCAGTACTTTGGGAGGTGAATGGATCACGAGGTCAGGAGTTTGAGATCAGCCTGGCCAACATAGTGAAAACCCACCTCTACTAAAAGTACAAAAATTAGCCAGGTGTGGTGGCAGGTGCCTGTAGTCCCAGCTATTGGGGAGGCTGAGGCAGGAGAATCGCTTGAATCTGGGAGACAGAGGTAGGTTGTGGTGAGCGAAGATTGTGCCATTGCACTCCACCCTGGGCAACAAGAGCAAAACACTGTCTCAAAAAAAAAAAAAAAAGCCAAAGTGACATTGAAGCTTCCTTATAGAAGTAACATATCTAGACAGAGGAAGGCCAAGCAAGACCACACCTAGAGTCCTGCATTAAGTTCTGAGTGCCTCATCTGAGGGGAAATTAATGCAGGACATGCAGGAGCATGTCCAAAACAGAGAACAGCTCAAAGGATCCTCCCACCTCAGCGTCAGCACTGATATACAAACTTCACTTATAGGATGTATAAGCTCTGGGGATCTAATGTACAAAATAGTGACCATAATTAATAATATTGTATTATTGAAATTTGATAAGAGAGCAGATTTTAAGTGTCCTCACCACTCCCATGGTAACTATGGATGGTGATGGATATGGATGTGTTAATCAATTTGACTGTGGTAAACATTACACAGTGTATACACATATCAAATCATGTTGTACACCTTGAATATAAATAATTTTTATCAATTAAATATTTTTAAATAAACAAAAACAAACAAAAACCCCACAAAACTATATAACACGAGGTATAATAGAACAAAGCTTGGTTAAATGAAGAGGGGCCATGTTCATGGACTTCATATTTCCATGTTACTAACATAAACCCCCAAAGGCCAGTAAGATTGCTTAAATATCTGGAAAGGAAAAGAAAATACTTGCAGTTTGGCAAAGAAACTTTCAGGAAATGTAGCAGGTTGTGGTAATGTTTTTATTATTTTATTTCTAGAGACTACCCAACAAAAAAGGGGGTAATCAGAGTGTCAGCTCTGGACCCATGCATGTTCCTAAAAGGTTATGCAAGCAAGATACCCCAGACTTTCATGGTTCTTCAGCCCTGACTCCACTGCCACCTTCTCCTGTGTCTCAGCTCAATTCCCTCTCCTCACCATCATATACACTGCAGATGCCCCTGCTTCCTTTGTATGATGTAGTGGTTAAGTGCAAGGATGTAGTGTTACACTACCTAGGATCAAATTCCAGCTCCACAAAAAATAACCACCTGTTTGACTTCTGATAAGTGAACTTGTTTTTTTTTTGAGACAAAGTTTCACTCTTGTTGCCCAGGCTGGAGTGCAATGGCACGATCTTGGCTCACTGCAGCCTCCGCCTTCCAGGTTCAAGTGATTCTCCTGCCTCAGCCTCCCAATTAGCTGGGATTACAGGCATGTGCCACCATGCCTGGCTAATTTTGAATTTTTAGTAGAGAGGGGGTTTCTCCATGTTGTTCAGGCTGGTCTTGAACTCCCGACTTCAGGTGATCTGCCTGCCTCGGCATCCCAAAGTGCTGGGATTACAGGATAATCCCAGTGTGCCCGGCCAGGGTAAGTGAATTTAACATCTCTTGTGTTCCAGTTTCCTCACCTGTTAAATACTAATACTGGTACATACCTCCTGGGGTTGCTGTCAGGATTAAAAGGGGTGGTTAGGAGAATGCCTGGCATATAGTAAGTGCGCTATAACTTTTTAGCTATTGTAATTACCAGGCCACAACAGCAGTATTTTATAATGGTAAAGGAGCCCAGGCTCTGGATTCAGTCTACCTGGGTTTGTATCCTAGATTCACTAAATACTGTTGACACTGGGCAAATCATTTAACATTCTATGGCCTCAATGGCTTCATCTGTAAAATGGGAATAATTGTATCACCTGTCTCCTAGAATTACTATGAGAATTGTATGACACAATCGATTTAAAATGCTTACCATTCTGCAGTCTTTCTATGCTGGACTCTCTCGAAACCTAGTACATGCCTTCTGCCAGGTATGCAAGGAAGGGAAAAGCCGCTAGGTACTTTCTACTTCTAGGCTTGATGATTCCTACTACAGGAGCCGAACAATTTCACTGTCACTTTTCAGAACCTAGAGCAACTGACTTACTCCCTCAACAGAAGGGTGCTGCTTTAAGGCCATTGTTCCTTTTCTTCAAAGTACTTAGTTCATAATTGTACATTTATAAGCCTATTAGATTACTGTATTCCTCCCCTGGAACAGTGCCTGACACATACTGGACATTCAATAGCCATTTGTTGAATGGACCAACTGGCCATGTGATAACTGAACTGGAGCAATTTGCTCCCTCCTGGCCTTCACTGAACCAGCAGTTTGCTGTAAAAGGTGTTCCCAGTGACATTAAGGTGGAACAGGAATGGAACGTGGAGGTGGAGGACCCCTCCGTTCGACCCCAGTCCTGGCTTCCTTTGGGGACGGGAGGCCAGAGGATCTGGGAAAAGCACCGCTCCGTTCACTGAACGCTGCTACGTAGCAGCGTCTCTGAAAAGAGACAACGAGACGAAAAGTTGCAAAGCTGCGGGTCGGGAGGAAGTCTGGGCAAGAGGACCACCGTTTAGGCATAGTCCTTCCTTAAGCTCCAGCTAGCGGCTCCGAACTGAGTCCTCTCAACGCCGGAGGGCGCTGCGCTGAGCCTTACACTCTATGATTGCTCCTACGGACTCCCATGAGGAAGTGCGATCAAGAACCTCCTATATACTTCCGTTTCTGGTCCGGCCTCTTTCTTTCCGTGCCGGTAGCGCTCACGCAAAAATGGTAAATGATAGGAGTCTCTGGTTGGGGGCGTGGAACATCCAGCCTAATCTTTCCCCATTTCGTCGATGGTGCAGTGCCGGTATGGGTCCAGGCTCCTGTTTGGACTCGATATACCAGAGCAACCCAGTCTTGCTGGGACCAATCCTAAAGGGACCGGGCTGCCGGGCCAGGAACTGAAGTGATGGGTTCAGAGAGGTAGTTAGCCGGGGATGGAGTTAATAAGCTAGATCTCTTCTCTCTTTGGGCCTCGACGCAGGGAGGGAGCTCGGCTTGAAGCATATGGGGCTGGCCCACCCTTTAGTTAGAGGTAGCGTGTAGTGAGGGGTCCTCGTGGAGTGCCTCAGCTTTAGCTGAGTCAGGGCATTGTGCCATTGTGGTCAAATAACTGCACGTTCTGAACGGTTTCTTTTCTAGGTCAACGTTCCTAAAACCCGCCGGACTTTCTGTAAGAAGTGTGGCAAGCACCAACCCCACAAAGTGACACAGTACAAGAAGGGCAAAGATTCTCTGTATGCCCAGGGTAAGGTGGATTCCACATAATTTAGTGCCAATGTGGTGACATTTGTAGAGTAACATACGAGTCCAAATCTCTCCCCAACGCCTGGCTTGAGCGTTAATATTTATGCTGCGAAATTAAGATAAAACCTGTAAGACTTCCTTACTGATCTTCCGTATTTTATAACAAATACCAATTCGTTTTCCCAGGAAAGCGGCGTTATGACAGAAAGCAGAGTGGCTATGGTGGGCAAACTAAGCCGATTTTCCGGAAAAAGGTGAGTGGTAGGTAATTACTATTTGATATTTCCACTTAATTGCGGTAAGGATGTGCATTTGTTTCTGGTCCACACACTCCATGATACAGGGATAGCGTTAGTTTCAGCGAAGTTTTCACGGTTGACTGCAGTGAACTAGTAGGCAGTGAATCTGGGAATGCAACCCAGGTCTGATTAGTCCCTATTTCAGTGTTTACGGTTTTTTATCCTTTCCTTTCTGAAGAGGCAAAAAATCGAGGAATGTGCCCTGCTTTCCTAAGAATTGAAGTGTGAGTACACTGGTAAGTCCTTTAATTTGCCTTGTTCCTTATCTGTCATGTCAGAATGCTGGACTGTTGGTTGCACTAATAATTGTTCTATTGTTTCTCATCACAGAAACCTGCAGTCAGCTGCCTGTCTCATGAAGTCTTAAAACTCTCTTAAAATAGCCATTTAGGCCTGTCTGCTGGCCTACTAAATTCAGCATTCTGGAGTTTATTCTCAGACCTTAGGTGATTTGGCTAACCCTTAAAGTAATTAATTAGGACGATGCCTGGAGCAGAGCATTTCCTCCAACGCAGCCTTTCTTTTGGCACTTGGCTTCTTGTGCAGTTTAGCTCCAGAAAGTATTAAGCAATTCCTTCAGTGCTCATTTGGGTGTAGTAAGTCGTTTGATCTCAGGGTGACAGAAGGAGTGCATTTTTATACCTCTTCACATTTGGATAACTTTTTTTTTTGAGACAGAGTTTTGCTCTTGTTACCCAGGCTGGAGTGCGATGGCATGATCTCTGCTCACCGCAACCTCCGCCTCCTGGGTTCAGGAAATTCTCCTGCCTCAGCCTCCCGAGTAGCTGGGATTACAGGCACTCACCACCATGCCCAGTTAATTTTTTGTATTTTTAGTAGAGACGGGGTTTCACCATGTTGACCAGGATGGTTTCGATCTCTTAACCTCGTGATCCACCCGCCTCGGCCTCCCAAAGTGCTGGGATTACAGGCTTGAGCCACCACGCCCGACCACATTTGGAAAACTTTTTAAGAAGACAAATTGCGGCCCCACGCGCGCGTGCGGTGGCTCACGCTTATAATCCCAGCACTTTGGGAAGCCGAGGTGGGTGGATCACTAGGTCAAGAGATCGAGACCATCCTGGTCAACAAGGTGAAACCCCACCTCTACTAAAGATACAAAAATTAGCTGGACATGGTGGTGCGCGCCTGTAATCCCAGCTACTCGGGAGGCTGAGGCAGGAGAATTGCTTGAACCCAGGAGGTGGAGGTTGCGGTGAGCCGAGATTGTGCCATTGCCCTCCAACCTGGGCAATAAGAGCGAAACTCCATCTCAAAAAAAAATAAAAAAGAAGACAAAGAGCTTCTAACTAGGTTTTGGCCTATTAAGAACTGCAAACTAGCAGCAGCAGCAGAACTCTGGCTAAAGGGGCAAGCTTATTAAAAAATTGAGTATTTAAAAATTGAGCTACCACATGATCCAGCAATCCCACTGCTGGGTATATACCTAGAAGAAAATGAATCAGTTTATCACAGAGATATCTGTATCCTATGTTTGTTGTAGTGCTGTTTCTAATAGCTAAGATTTGGAAGCAGACTTAGTGTCCATCAGGAGATGAATGGATAAAGAAAATGTATCTATATGCAATGGAGTACTATTCAGACATAAAAAGAATGAGAGCCAGTCATTTATAACAACATAGGTGGAACTGGAGATCATTATGTTAAGTGAAATAGGCACATTAAATACAAATATCACGTGTTCTCACTTGTGGGATCTGAAAATGAAAACAAGTGAATTTTTTTTTTTTTTTTTTGAGACGGAGTTTCGCTGTTGTTACCTAGACTGGAGTGCAATGGCACGATCTCTGCTCACCGCAACCTCCACCTCCTGGGTTCAAGCAATTCTCCTGCCTCAGCCTCCCGAGTAGCTGGGACTACAGGGGCGCACCACCATGTCCAACTAATTTTTGTATTTTTAGTAGAGACTGGGTTTCACCTTGTTGACCAGGATGGCCTCAATCTCTTGACCTCGTGATCCACCTGCCTCGGCCTCCCAAAGTGCTGGGATTATAGGCCTGAGCTACTGCGCCCTGCCAAAACAAATGAACTTGAACAGAGAGTAGGATGGTTACCAGAGGCTGGGAAGGGTAGTGGGGGGAGGTGGGGATGGTTAATGGGTTAAAAAAAAATAGAATGAATCAGACCAACTATTTCATAGTACAGCAGGGTGACTAAAGTCACTAATAACTTGGTTGCATATTTTAAAGTAACTTAAAGAATGTAATTGGATTGTTTGTACCTCAGAGAAAAAATGCTTGAGATGGTGGAAAAATTAGATGAGGCATATTTCCCATGTAAAAGAATTATGTGTGATTTATGTAGATACCCCATCCTCAAGGAGGGTACCTAACTACTACTCCTTAAGTTTGAGCTTTGCATGGTGACTTCCAAAGAGTATGGAAAAGAGAAGGGAGGGAAGAAAACTTTACAGTGGAGAAACCTAACAAGCACTACCTCAGCCAGGTAATCAAGGTTAACATCGACAGTAATGAGTCATCTTGATATATACCCTTGATAAGATGTGATGAAAATGACACTTAAACCTAAAACTCCATAAGCCCATCTAATCATGAGAAAAAATAAATCGCAGGAGGGGCATTTTACAAAATACCTGACCAGTAGTTCTGAAATTGTTAGAAAGTCTGAGAAATTGCCACAGCCGAAGGGGTATAGAGATGTGATGACTAAATGTTATGTGGTGTTCTGGATGGGGTCCCAGAACAGAAAAAGGACATTAGGGAAACATAAGGAAATACAAAAAAAAAATATGTACTTGAGTTAATAACGCATCAGTGTTGGTTCGTTAATTGCAACAAATGAGTCATACTAATGTAAGATGAGAAACTGGTTGTGAGGTTTAGAGAACTCTAGCATGTTTGAAATTTTTTGGTAAATCTAAAACTTGTAAACAATAGTTCTGTTTAAGTTAAAAGAACAAAAACGTTAAGTATTAGTGGAGAGAGGAGTTTGGAGTTAAATCCGTTGAATGTACATAAATTCTAGACATAATTGTAGGTAGTCTTGGAATTCAGTGATTTTTGTTTTTTTGAGAACAGTATTCACTCTGTAGCCCAGGCTGGAGTGCATTTTACCTCACTGTAACCTCCACCTTCCAGGTCCTTATTCAAGCAATTCTCCCTCCTGAGTAGCTGGGATTATAAGAACGCACCACCATACCCAGCTAATTTTTGTATTTTTAGTAGAGACGGGGTTTTACCATGTTGGCCAGGCTGGTGTTGAACTCCTGACCTCGTGATCCACCCACCCCAGCCTCCCAAAGTGCTGGGATTATAGGTGTGAGCCACTGTGCCCTGCTGAATTTAGTGATCTTTATAGAGACAGGTTTCTCACTGTGTTGCCCAGGCTGGTCTCAAACTCCTGGGCTCAAGTGATCCTCCTGCCTCAGTCTCACAAACTGTTGAGACTAAAGAACACAAGTTCAAGGTGGCAAAATGAGTTGCCCATTTGATAGGAAGCTCTAGGTTGTTTGACCTGAATGGGGTTTGGATTCAAACTTGTTAACAACTGGATGATGTGCCATCGTTGCTATTACCACATTTTCTCTTTATATTTTTTTTTAGTATACATTTTCTCTTGAATTCACTAAGTGGGGCAACTATTATTTGCAGTGCTTTGCTTTAAATAGTACTTAAAGTAGTCATTTGAAGAAAGTGATCTTCTGCAGTTATTTATTAAGGCTTTGATTTAATTTTTTTTCCAGGCTAAGACTACAAAGAAGATTGTGCTGAGGCTCGAGTGCGTTGAGCCCAACTGCAGATCTAAGAGAATGCTGGCTATTAAAAGATGCAAACATTTTGAACTGGGAGGAGATAAGAAGAGAAAGGTATATAATTATGGGTAGAAGGTGCAATCTTTTTCATATAGCTTTATTATGTGAAAAGGTGAACATTCATTCATAGACTAGGCATAGAGCTCAGGGGTAGTCCTCTAAAAATACTAGATCTGTGAGGTCTTTTGCTACAAGGAGGAAAGGAAGAATGAGGAAGCTTAATATAGCATGGTGAACATTTTAGGAACAGATAATGTTCTTGATGGGGCAGTAGTTTGTGGCAAAATACAAAACTGAACTTTTTTTCTGTTCTGTTACAGGGCCAAGTGATCCAGTTCTAAGTGTCATCTTTTATGAAGACAATAAAACCTTGAGTTTATGTTCACTTCATTTGTTTGCAGTTTATCTTTTGGGAGGGAATAAGCTTGAGCCATCAGCACAAATCTACCTATGGGGAAATTTATGCCTCTTCAAACTCCTGACCTCAAGTGATCTGCCTGCCACGGCCAGGCATGAGCTACCAAGCCTGGCCCAAAATAAATATTTTAAAGTAAATCTTGTAATGACCTCTGCATTGTATTTTCTAGCCGAAGCAAAACAGTGCCTGTGGGATTTATATGAGTTCTTAACCTTGTAGTCCATTCATAGAACCCTAGCTTCCTTTTCACTGGGAGATGCTGTGTGATGAAGCAGGCAGGATTACAGGCCACTCCTTTACCCAGAGAAGCAACTGCCATGGTATAAGAGCGAGGTCCACCAATCTCCTGCCGGTTTATTACAGCTACAGCCCAGGCTAAATCTGAGAGAGGTCGTTCCCATACTTCAAAGTTGTCTCCCTGAAAAACCAAGAAAATAAGTGTGATTGATTTGTAACTAGTGATAAGTGGCCCTGTTAGTTTGGCATTTATGCTTAATGTCAGAACTATCAAGCATTTGTAGGAAAAATTAAAAAAATCCTGCAGCATTATTTTAGAAATAATGGTTCTAGCAAAAAGCTTTATTACTGAAAGTAATAAGAGCAAAGGAAAAAATAGATTTAGGCCCAAGACAAACTTGGTATTGCGTATATAAACCATCTTAAAATATACACCCTTATTTACCTGTCTAAGCTGGTACCCCTGCTTGCCCAAGGGGTCCTGATTGATGGCAATTACATCCTTATCTTGAAGGAGAGCTTTGGCTTGAGGGCTGATGTGTCGGAGGTCATTAGACATGAATAAAGGAGCGGCCATGATAGCCCAGAGGGCCATTTGAGTTACTTGCTGATTCCAGCTGAGGCCAAAGTTGCCAATCACTAACTGAGACAAAGAATGAAATAATTTAAAGGAGAAGAGGAAACATTTTTTTTTTGAGACAGTTTTGCTCTTGTTGCCCCGGCTGGAGTGCAATGGCGTGATCTCGGCTCACCGCAACCTCCGCCTCCTGGGTTCAAGTAATTCTGCCTCATCCTGCTGAGTGGCTGGGACCACAGGCGTGTGCCACCACGCCTGGCTAATTTTTGTATTTTTAGTAGAGACGAGGCTTCACCATGTTGACCAGGATGGTCTTGATCTCTTGACCTCATGATCCACCTGCCTCGGCCTCCCAAAGTGCTGGGATTATAGGGGTGAACCCCCGTGCCTGGCCGGAAACATTCTTAAAGTTACCTAGATGACCCATATGGAGAAGCCATTTTCCACAGCATCCTGCTCTAAGCACTCTTACAGAAAGCCTCCTCCCAGGAACTTTACCTCTACCTTGAATGTCAAATAGGAAACAGGCCTATTGCAGGGTCTTGAACATGGAAGCCTCAAGTTTTTACCATATCTGGGTCGTTCCAACCCCCTGGTCCAGCAACATCAACAATTCTTTCCTGGTTAGAAGAGGTCCAGTCCAAGATACTCTTTATACTTTTCCAGGAATCATCAATGTCAGCATAATTTCGCCAGTGATTGCAGTACTGTCGGATTTCTGTGTAATTGGGCTGTGAAAACAGAGGCAACTCTTCTGTTTACTTTCTACCAACATCCTTGTGAGATGAAAATAGTCAAGTTTAAAGGAGGCACTTGTAGCCTTCTCTTGAGTTTACAGATTGAAGGTCTCCATGAGGAGGTTTAAACCCTTATTATAAGGAACTTTCACTGTAAGACGTTTGCTTCAGAAGTAGGCCATATAACTTGAAATCCCTTATAGTTACTTTACTTTTATAATCAGAACTAAAATGATCTTATTTATTTATTTATTTTTAAAGATGGGGTTTCACCATGATGGCCAGACTGGTCTTGAACTCTTGACCTCAGGTGATCCACCCACCTCAGCCTCCCAAAGTGCTAGGATTACAGGCATGAGCCACCAAGTCCGGCACTAAAATGATCTTAATGAGTAAAATTAAAAGGTGAAAAATTACATAGGACTCCATCAAGCATTAAGAAAACTTAAATCCTAGGCATATATTTTGTTAATGGACTAAAAAGTTTGTAGAGGCCAGGCGCAGTAATCCTAGCACTTTGGGAGGCCAAGGCAGGCAGATCGCCTGAGGTCAGGAGTTTGAGCCCAGCCTGGCCAACATGGTGAAACCCTATCTCTACTAAAAATGCAAAAATTAGCCAGATGTGGTGGCATGCACCTGTAATCGCAATTACCTGGGGCAGCAATAAGCTTGCAGTGCTGAGAGACAAAACCAGTGTAGCGAGGGAAAGAGCCATGACCCTTTGGACTTTGGGGAGGCAGGAAAGGGCTGGATTACTGGTTTGGTTTCATTCCAAGTGCAACTGGAAGCCAGTTAGGGTTTTAAGCAGGGAACTGATCATGCCATTTATATATATATATATATATATATATATATATATATTTTTTTTTTTTTTGATACAGAGTTTCGCTCTTGTTACCCAGGCTGGAGTGCAATGGCGCGATCTTGGCTCACCGCAACCTCCGCCTCCTGGGTTCAGGCAATTCTCCTGCCTCAGCCTCCTGAGTAGCTGGGATTACAGGCACGCACCACCATGCCCAGCTAAGTTTTTGTATTTTTAGTAGAGACAGGGTTTCACCAAGTTGACCAGGATGTTCTCAATCTCTTGACCTTGTGGTCCACCCGCCTCAGCCTCCCAAAGTGCTGGGATTACAGGTGTGAGCCACCGCACCCAGCTGCTATATTTTTCATAACTGCTACATCTCGGGAATTTTTCTTTCTTAAAAAAACTGATATTTACATTTTAATAAGATAACTCTAGTGCTGCTTGGAAAATAGATGGGGGTGGGGACAGAGTGGAAGCAGAGAGATCAGGCTGTCATAGCACTCTGGGTGAGAGCCAATGGTAGCTTGGAAGGCCAAAGTACATGTAGTGGACATGGAAGGAAGTGGGCTGATTCAGGAGATATTTTAGAGATACTGGTGGAAGGACTGTTGATAGAAGGACATGAATGGTGAAATAAAGGGGAAGACACAAGGATGGCTTTCCAGGTGATGGTAGCTTAGATTGTAATTACAGCAATGGGGATGGTGAGAAGTGGTTGGTACCCCGGAGAGAAGTTAGGATGATATTAAGTAACAGTGGACTTTGAAGGAGACCTTGGTTTCCTTTGTTGTCAAGTTCTATCAATCAGTACAGTTCTATTGGATTCTGGGCTCACTATCTCACCTTTTGAAAGGGCCACATATAAAGAGGCCACTCACAGGAGTATACAATGCTTCTGCCAGTCCTATTCAGGGCCAAGGACATGTGTTTATAACCTGTATGAGAAAATAATAGGTAACATAAGGGAAAGAAATGAATTTCCAGCTTGGGTTGTATATATATATATATATAAATACATATATATTTTTTTTGAGATAGAGTCTCGCTGTTGTCCAGGCTGGAGTGCAGTGGTGTGATCTAGGCTCACTGCAACTTCCATTTCCCAGGTTCAAGTGATTCTCCTGTCTCAGCCTCCCAAGTAGCTGGGATTACAGGCACATGCCACCATGCCCAGCTAATTTTTGTATTTTTAGTACAGACGGGGTTTTACCATGCTGGCCAGGCTGGTCTCAAACTCCTGACCTCAAGTGATCCACCCACCTCAGCCTCCCAAAGTGCTAGGATTACAGGAATGAGCCACCGTGCCTGGCTGGGGCTGTATATTTTAAGAGGCTACCAGGAAGGTTCATGTTTAAACCAGCAGCAGGGACAGGCAGTTGTTCTGTGTTTGAATTATGTAAAGTACCTCCCAGACTTCTGGGATTGTTATGAGGAAGTAGTGCAGAGATGGTGTACATATTGAGGAAAGGCAGGAATGAAGATGCTTCTTTCTCTGTGACATACTGACAACCTGGACTCTCCTAAATGATGTTATAGAGAGTTATAATTATGAACTAATTAACTCTTAGAGCCTTCTTCAATTATAAGTGCCCAATATTAGCCATGGTTAGGCATGCATGGATTTTACATGAACGAACGAACAAACGAACGAATGAACTGAAAGAGAAGAGATGGGAGCTCTGGCACATGAATAATTATTTCCAGTATTGTGACAGCATATTTAAAATCTGAAGATTGGTTCTTTGGCTCAGCTACCTTGGCCTCAATGTTCTTTCCTTTGTGTCTAAATCTCTGGAATGAAACATACCATCTGCCAAACTTTCCAAACTGTCACAGTGACAACCATCAAATTTCAGCAGATCTACTCCCCAGTCAGCGAAGGTCTGGGCATCAATGTCATAGTATCCAAAACTCCCAGGGAAGCCTGAGCAGGTTTTATTTCCAACATCTGCATAAATCCCTAGCTTCAGTCCTTTGCTGTGAACCTGAAATGAGAGGGAGGAAAAGAGTCACTACTGTAGAAGGGCAAATCACGAGGTAGCAGAAAGAAAGAACCATTCCAGGCTGGGGGCAGAGACAAAGTTACTTCACCAGGTACTGGGGGCTTTTTCCGATAAACCTCCAAAATATCCAGATGAGTTTATTGGCAGACAAAGAATAAAAATCCCCCAGTTCTACTGAGCTAGTTCAAACTATGCATGTGAACTATAGCCCAGAACTGAGGAGAAAGCTAGCAGCCATGATAATCTTCCTAATGGGATCCTGAAAGCTACCTTTTGAGGGCAATGACAGACTGACCTTGACAAAGACTCTCCTTGACCAAACTTTAGACTTCTCTGATAAGCCTTGTTTTTGACTAGGCCTCCACCTTAGCCTCCTGTGTCTGTCCTAGAAAGCCCTCTTAGCAAGAATCCTGCTAAGTCAATCCTGCCACCGTTGATATCTGATCAAATTCCCTCATTCTCCACCCTTCATGTTTAAAGTCCATAGTCTGCCTTTAGCAAGAAGCTCCCTACCCTTAATGTCTTCTTATATATTCCAACCACTGACCCCCTCAATCTGCTCATTGGCTATAAATTTCCACCTGTCTTTGTTGTATTTGGAATTGAACTTGGCTCTTTCTTCTACTGTGGTAGTACTGAATAAAATCTGTCTTCATCATCTTTAACTAGTGTTGGACTCTATTTCTCTTCAATGATCTCTAGAATATTTTCCTTCTATCTTCTAAAATTGTAGTTTATAGTACCACTGCAATAGCTTCCCAAAGGTTATATGGAAATG